TATTGTATCATTTTACTTTAGGCCTGGATATACAAATTACATAAATATAGTTATGGAAACAACACTTTCAGATGCTTTGGTCAATTTGGTGAATCTAACTTGAGAAAAGAATTCACACCACCAGACACATTCTATTGAAAGCTCTGGATATTCTGGAGAACGCTCATGACAGAATGTTAGTATATTTTCTGAAAGAAAAGAGGATCTTGATGATTCATTAATGAAAAAGGACCTTCCTCATTGTTAGAAGCCAGCCCCAAATGTTAGGCAGCTAAAGTGCTTTATACATGTGTGAGAAAAAAATGGCATCGATACATTTTGGACTAACATCAAAGCACACTTCTGTCTCATTGCTGCTCTTTTGGGTTTGACATTTGGAGGGGCCCTTTGAAAGCTGTAATAAGATGCAAACTTACCCCAATGTGTCCTTCACTACTAATACATGAAGGGCAGCTGTGACTGTTTCTTTGGGGCACCAAACCTTTTCCCAATTCAATGGTACTTGCTGAGGGTGATGCTTGGCATTCTGCAACCTTGTTTCTGTTTGAGTATGAACTTGATCTACCCTTTTCTTTCTCTTGTGGGTTAGTTTTCTAATCTGTCAAGTAAGTAGGCTGCAATACAGCAGGAGTCAGCAAACTTTTTGGTAAAGGGCGAGATAGTAAATATTTTCAGCTTTGGACCACATGGTCTGTTTTGCAACTCTTTAACAGTGTCACTGCAATGTGAAAGCAGCCACACAGAAAATGTAAACAAACAGGCAGGGCTGCTTTCCAATAAAAATGGGCATGCCTATTTTTCAATAAAATTTTTATTTACAAAAACAAGTGGTGGGCTAGATTTGGCCAGTGGGGCCTAGTTACAGACTCGTACACTAAAAATGTTTTAGTATCCCTGTTAGCTTTCCTCGGCCTTAGTACTCAGTTTCAGTGATTCTGTGAGAGTTCACAACTGGGGGACAGCTGGAAAAAAAGAACATACTTTAAAGACTCATTGGCTAGATGAGATTACTATATTTGACTTATCTTTTCACTTGGAATCTTTTAACTCTGTAGCATAATGCCCCTATTATATTTAGCAATTAGAGTGCCATCACAAAGTAAAATGTAAAACCATTATTCCTTGAAAAGAGAAAAGGCTTGTGGTATGAAATGATGCATGCAAGGAGTGTGGGTGATAATTTACTCATATAATCATTTCTATTTCAGTTCTATGGCAAGTATTTCTGGAGATGGCTCACATGGCAGGGAGATCTTTTGAGATGTGCATGCCATAATTAACCTTTTTATGTAGTCTGATAGAAATATCAATAGTCTTTCTCTTTTAGCAGTTTTAGCTTTACTTTTGGACTATAAAAACGATTTGAATGAAAAAAATGGTTATAAGAAAAAGCCTGTATATCTTGAGTTTAAAACAAAACATGCATATTCTTTTGTTATTTTAACTTTATGGTTAAGTTCTAGACATTGAATATCTACATTTCATTTTTCCCCCTTTGCACAGGGAATTAGAAAACTGGCCAGTGCTTCTGTAGGGTGTAGATCAGTAATTCACACAGTGTGGTTTCTGGGCCTGCAGCATCACTATCACACAGGAACCTTCACAAGTGCCTCCCCACCTGAGACCTTTGGGTGATGATTAGGTCATGAGAGTAGAGACTTCTGGATTGGGATTAGTATCCTTATACATAAGAGACCCCAGAAAGCTCACTGGCCCCTTCCACCATGTGAGAAGATAGACGTCTATAAACCAGGAAGCAGCCAGACACTGAATCTGTTGGCAACTTGATCTTGGCCTTCCCAGCCTCCAGAACTATGAAAAATAAATTTCTGTTTATAAGCCACCCAGTTTATGGTATTCTGTTATAGCAGCCTGAATAGACCAAGACAGTCAAGAACAATATATTTTTATGCTCATACAACATGGCATTTCTCTAGTCCTATGGCATTAGCATTAACTTTGGAGCCTCATCATAAAAATCATCATCATATCCCTAAGGAAAGTGTTATAGGTGAAACCGTGCTATTGAAAAATACCCCCAGATCAAGCAGCATAATGCTTTTACAGTTTGGATGACTTTTAGAAGTGACCTTGTCCAATAGCCCCAAATGTTATAAAGAATACTTCATTGCATTAGCAAAAGGCTATGTATGGTCATTTAAAAAAAAAAAAACTTCAAGCAATATATAAAGGTATAAGAAAAGAAGCAAATATTTCCCAAAGTAAAGGTTACTGAGATTTGGCAAATAAAATGCATAAATACAAATGGATAGATAGTTTGCAATGTTTCGGTGAGACAGAGATCATATGGTACATGCTATTTTTAAAAGCAGTTTTTATTTTGGAATAATCTTAGATTTACAGAAATTCTGCAAAGATAATACAGTGTTCTCATTTAACTCTCAACCAACTTCCTCTGCTGTTAACATCTTACATTACCATGGCACATTTGTCACAAATACGAAACCAACACAAGTGCACTACTATTACCAAATTCTGTTTTGAATTTCATTGGTTTTTCCACTAACGTCTTTTCTGTTCTAAGATCCACATTGCATTTAGGTGTCCGGTATTGTATTATTCAGGGTTCTCCAGAGAAACAGAGTCAATAGGATAGATATATATAAACAGATTTATTTATTGTCAAGATTTGGCTCATGCAATTATGGAGGCTGAGACGTCCCAAGCTATACTTGGCAAGCTGGAGAACAGGGAAGTTAATATGTATTTCCAGTCCAAAAACTGGCAGACTGGAGACCTCCCCAAAAGCTGATGCTTCAGTTCAAGTCCAAAGGTCAAAAAGAAACTGGTGTCCCAGCTCAGAGCAGCTGGGAGGAGTTGCCCCTTCTTCAGCCTTCCTGAAGGTGAAGGTTGTTCACCTCTTCAATTGATTGGACAAGGCACATCTACGTGAGGGAGGGCCATCTGCCTCACTTAGTCTACCTATTCAAATATTAACCTCATCAACAAACACACTAAGAATAATGTTTGACCAAATGTCTGGGTACCCCATTTCAAGATGACACACAAAATTAACCACCACAGGTATGCATGCTATTTTTAATCCATTATTTTAATATCTGACTTGACAGATCATTTCATAAGTGACACCCTTCACTTCAGGCTCTCACGGCAAGCAGATAGCTCTCTAGATGCCCCACACTCTGTCCCCACCAGTTTAGCTGCACGCTTTCTATGACTCAGCTGGGTTGGAACTCAGAAACTCTAAAAAAATCATTTAATTTAATGTTATGAAAACCAATAACATACAAATACATCAAACTTTTTGTGGCTATAAAAGCTAGATTGAGTGTGTTAGAATGACTGGATAAATGTAGGGCAATTCAAAATTTGCTTTCCAAATAGCCCTGAATAGGACCATATGTGTAGTACTATTGTAGGCAGAGACGGGGAGGAATCTAGGAGGATTCTGCACTCAGATTCCTTCCCAAGTGTCTTTCAGTTCTTGTTTCATTTTTTAAAATTGAAACTGGAAATCCTAGAGAGTGGTAGTCTATGCAAAGAAGGTGGCCAAGGGGAATTCCAATCAAGTGACCATTCTCAAAGAAAAGATATTGGCCTCAAATTAAAAGACTTATAAATTCCAAATGCCTGTATGTTGGGGAAGATGAAAAAGTTCTGGAGATGGGGCGGCGCCTGTGGCTCAAAGGAGTAGGGTGCGGGCCCCATATGCTGGAGGTGGTGGGTTCAAACCCAGCCCTGGCCAAAAACCACAAAAAAAAAAAAAAAGAAAAAAGAAAAGAAAAAAAAGTTCTGGAGATGGAAAGTGGTGATGGTTGCACAATAATGTGAATGTAATAATTAATCCATAGAACAGTACATGTTAAAATGGCAAATTTTATGTTTTTCAGATTCCCTGTTTTTGTTAATGCAAATGGTTAATGTTAGACAAGAAGGCTTATCCTACATATATATTTTTCTTTCTTTTTTTTTTTTTGAGACAGAGTCTCACTTTGTTACCCTAAGTAGAATCCTGTGGCATCACAGCTCACAGCAACCTCAAACTCTTGGGCTCAAGCAATTCTCTTGCCTTAGCCTCCCAAGTAGCTGGGACAATAGGCACCTGCCACAAAACCAGGCTACTTTTTGTTGCAGTTGTCATTGTTGGTTAGCTGACCTGGGCCAGGTTTGAACCAACCAACTTTGGTGTATGCGGCTGGTGCAGTAGCCACTGTGTTCCTGGTGCTGAGCTGCTTATCCTGTATTCAATTTATTTTTATTTGAGTTTAATGGAAGAACAGGACACCAATATGGAAACAATGACTTTCAAGCAAATGATTCCTTTTTGAGATTTTTTTTTTTTTTTTTTTTTTTTTTTGCAGTTTTTGGCTGGGGCTTGGTTTGAACCCACCACCTCTGGCATCCTTTTTGAGATTTTTAAAATCAAGATTTTAATTCTCTAACTAGTTGCTTTAAATTTAATAGAAAAGGTATGAAAAACTCTTAAGAGGTTACAGCAGTGGTTCTCCACGCAAGGCAGTGCAAATTCCCGACAGAGTACATTTAGAAATGTGCGCACACGTTCTGTGTTGTCACAATTATGGGGACCTTGGCTTTCTCCAGAGATGCCAAACCTCTTACAACGCGCCTGGCAGACCTAACATCAAAAACCTGCTCACCCCAAGTGTCAATAGCTCCTCTAGTGACAGATACTAGGGAAGAGTCAATATATTTTTTATTTTCACTTTTTCTGATAAAAGGCAATTGGAACATAAAAGTTAATTAGAATAAAAATAAATACATGTTAAATTTATTTCACATCACATGTAGTTTTTATCCCTATTAGTTTTTTAAATGCTTTTAAAGTCTATGCCTTAAATAATTTTCACATCGGTAAACAAATCTTAAATTACTAAAGATGCAATGTATCAGATACTGAACATCAAAATTTAGGGGTGGGAACTGATTGTTAAATATCCTACTGCACTAAATACTTCTGTAAAATTTTAGAGAAGAAAAAAACAATTTTACTTGAAATTGAAAATATGGAACATTTCACAAATCCACGTGCCACCCTGTGTGTGCAGGAGCCACGGTCGTCTTCCCCGTATCTGTCCAATTTTAGTCCATGTACTGCTGAGCAAGCACACAACATATTTTCTAAATTATGTCCAATTTCGCACAATATCTATCAAATGCTTGTGAAATTTTAGAAAAGATACATCCTTTCACTTTCTTCCATCTCTCCCTCTTCCAACCCCATTTTTGTTAGTTATACTGTTCTTTATGATGTCTGGGGTTTTACCATTCACATTCTCTTCTGAGACCATAATTCAAGTTGCTTACTCTTGATTCCATTTTGAATGATTTGGCGCTCACCATTGTACTTTCCATATCCTGTCTTCTCCATTCTACACGCCTTGATTCATCTACTTAGTTGCCTAGATTTTGTTATACAATAGTTTTTATTTGTCTTTATTCCAAGAAAGGCCCATGGATTTTGCTTTCTTTCATTTTTTCATGCTTACTGCCTGTTGCATTTACCTCCGGTGATAATTTGGTCCTTTTTATTTTTATTTTTATTTTTTGAGAGAGTCTGTCCCCAGGTTAGAGTGCAGTAGTGGTGTCAAAGCTCACAGCAACCTCAAACACCTAGGTTCAGGTGATCCTCTTGCCTCAGCCTCCTGAGTAGCTGGGACTAAGAAGGCACCCACCACAGAGTCCAGCTAGTTTTTCTATTTTTAGTGGAGACGGTTCTCACTCTTGCTCAGGCTGGTCTTGAACTCCTGAGCTCAAGCAATCTTACAATTTTCAAGTTATTCATTGTTTTCCTCGGAATTTTGTAGGCACTACTGCATTGTCTTTGACTTTGAGAGAGGTGTGGGAGGTCTGAGGTCAATCTTATTTCCTCTTTCATAAATGACTTGCTTTTTGGTGGTATACCCACATAGCTATTTTAAGAGCATTTTTCTTTTATTGTATTTTCAATATAATATTTGCTACATGCAAAACATTAAATATACAAATTATAATCAAAATAAAATTTAAACTTTTAAATAGTTATTTGACTCAAGAACTAAAATAGGTTCCTCACCTATTCTATGTCCCTCTCTTTCCCCCAAGGTTGCTACTCTCTTGTATGTTTATCCTTCTTTCGAAATATTCCAAATGGTTCTATCATATATCCCTAAACAATATACAGTATAATTTCATTTTGCTTGCTTTTGAGCTATGTAGAAATGGCATCATATTATACATTGTCCTTTGGAACTTTCTCTTTTCATTCAACAAAGATTCATTCATGCTGCTCTGTGTTACTATAGAGTCCTCATTTTGACAGCATTACTGATATATAATTTACAACCTTAAAGTTCATTCAATTAAAGTGTATAGATCATTAGCTTTCAGTATATTTAGAGTTGTGTGACCATCACCATCTTCTAATTGTAGAGTATTTTCATCACTCCCAAAAGAGTTAATGTACCCATTAACAGTCATTCCCAATCTCCTGCTTGCCTGCTTCCCCATCCCCTAGCCTGACTTTCTGTCTCTCTATATGGAATTGTCTGGACAGTATCCAGCCACGTAATATAAAACAACAGAGACATACATGGCTGGATACTTTCTGGACAGCCCTGGTATTTCCCTCTTCTAGGCATTACATATGAATGGAATCATATGATATGTGGCTTTTCTGTGACTGGCTTTTTTCATTCAGCATAAATTTTTCGAGGTTTCCTCTATGTTGTAGCATGAGTAGAGCCTTATGTTGCTTAGAGACAGGGCTATGTTCTGGGAATGTGTTCTTAGGCAGTTTTGTTGTGTGAACATCATAGAGTGTAATCACATACCTTAGAGGGTCTAGCCTACTACACATCTAGGTTGTGTGGTACCACCTACTGCTCCTAACCTACTGTGCTGAATATGGGAGGCAACTATAACACAGTGGTGAATATTTGTGTATCTACACATATCTAAACATAAAAAAGGAACAGTAATCTTATGGGACCATAAGGTCCTTCATTGACAGAAACATTGCTATGTGGCACATGACTGTACTCTGTAATTTATACTGAAGAATAATATTTCATTGTATAGCTAAACCACATTTTGTTCATTCATCAAGAGCATTAATTTTTATTACTGTATTGTATTCCACCAAGTAAATAAACCATAATTTATTTATTTGGTCTCCTATCAAAGGATGGATGCTTCAGTCATTACCAGTTTTTAGCTGTTATGAACTGTGCTCCTCTGAACAAATCTAGATATATATGTAGAAGGGGTAAGGTATGCTCATATTCAAGTGTACTGGGTAATGCCAAACTGTTTCCAAAGCAGTTATACAGGCTTATATTTCTGAGAGTATATAAAAGATCTTGTTTCTGGTTTTTTGTTTTTTTTTTGAGACAGAGTCTCACTTTGTTGCCCTCAGTAAAAGGCCCTGCCATCATAGCTCACAGCAACCTCAAACTCTTAAGCTCAAGCTATTCTTTTGCCTCTGCCTCCCAAGTAGCTGGGACTATAGGCGCCGGCAAAACAGCTAAAAACTGGTAATGACTGGGGTCTTGCTCTTGCTCAGGCTGGTCTTGAACTCCTGAGCTCAAGCAATCCACTCACCTCAGCCTCCCAGAGTGCTAGGATTACAAGCATGAGCCACCGCACCCAGCCCATAAAACATCTTGTTGACCCATATCCTTTCCAACATTTGACACTACCTGATTTGTTAATTTTTTTGTCAATTCAGAGTGTATACAATTATATTTCACTTCAGTTGGAAATTGTATTTCCCTTATTACAGATGAGAATGAGCATCCTTCCATACATTGGCCATTTAATTTTTTGTGCCTGTTACCATTTTTGCTCATTTTCTATGGGTTTTTGTCATTTGATGTGTAGCAGTTAATCGTATACTCTGGAATCTAATGCTTTGTCAGTAATGTGTATTGCAATTATCTTCCAGTTTGTGGCTTGTCTTCTTACTTTTCCAAGTGTTTGCTTTTATTGGTCATTTTTAGTTTTTATGTTGTCACAACTAGCATTCTTTTCTTTGCTGTTTTTTGTTTCTTGTTTAAGACACCCTTCCCTCCTTGCAAATCATAAAGATATTCCTTATTTCATTCTGTTAGTTTTTTTTAATTTTGCTTTCACATTTGTTATTAATCCAGCTAAAACTGACAATTGCTTCTGTTTCTCTCCCATGTCATAGCCAATGTCTTACCACCATTGATCTGTAATTCTACTTCTATTGTATGTCAGGTTTTCATGTATGTTTGGGTCTATTCTGTGTTCCATTATGTTACTCTCCATTTGTCAATTTTTCCTATTCTCTGTCAGAATTACAGTCTTTTAAAAATTTTTCAGATTAATATGAGGGTACAGATGATTAGGTTACACTGTTGTCATTTGTTAGAGTCTAAGTTGTAGTTGTGTCCCTCACCCAAGAGGTGTGCCATTTATCCTTACATTGTGCCTGTGTGGTGAGAACTCACAAATCCCCCCTCCTCCCCAACATTACACTCTTAAGGATTATGGCTTTATAAAAAGTCTTAATACACGTTATAAATTGTCATACTCAATACTTTAGGAGTCTTACTTTTTCTTAGCCCTTTGTTTTCCATACAAATTTTAGAATTAGTTTGCTCAGTCTACAAAAAATCCTGCTGGGTTTAAATCTAAACATCCTTACTATACAAAGTCTTACTATCCATAAACATGGTACATCTTTTCATTTATTTACATCTCTAATAACTTTCAATTAAATTTTAATATTTTATTACTTTATTGTCAGATACCTTGTTTCTGTTGCAACTATAAATTGTAACAATTGTAACTTTTTATATTACAGCCATAGTTTTAAAAAACAATTGATTTCTGTATATTGGTTTTAGAGACAGCCACCTTACTAATTTTCTTATTATTACCATATTTTTATATTTTTGTTATATTCTATGTACATGTATATAATGTTATCTGCAAATATTTATGGGTTTATTTGTCCTTTCCTAATCTTCATGCCTTTATTTTTTTTTTTTTAGAGACAGAGTCTCACTTTCTTGCCCTCGGTACAGTGCTGTGGCATCACAGCTCACAGCAACCTCTAGCTCCTGGGCTTAGGCAATTCTCCTGCCTCAGCCTCCTGAGCAGCTGGGACTTTAGGTACCCGCCAAAACACCTGGCTATTTTTTTGTTGCATTTCAGCCAGGGCCCAGTTTGAACCCACCACCCTTGGTATATGGGGCCAGTGCCCTACTCACTGAGCCATAGGTGCCACCATAGACACTCTAGTTTTAAGAGTGATTGAAACATGATAGTAAGCAAACTTGTCCTATTTGTAATTTTTTTTTTTTTTAGAGACAGAGTCTCACTTTGTCACCCTTGGTAGAGTACTGTGGCATCACAGCTCACAGCAATCTCAGCTCCTGGGCTTAGGCAATTCTCCTGCCTCAGCCTCCTGAGTAGCTGGGACTACAGGCACCCGCCACAATGCCCGGGTATTTTTTTGTTGCAGTTTGGCTGGGGCTGGGTTCGAGACCACCATCCTCAGTAGATGGGGCTGGCATCCTACTCACTGAGCCACAGGCGCCACCCCCCCCATTTGTAATTTTAAGTGGGGTACTTTTAACTTTTCATCATTAAAAATGATATTTACTGAGGTTTTTGGTAGATTTGATCATTCATATAAAGAGGATTCTTTTCTATTTATAGTTTGCTAAGATTTTTATGCTGAATCAATGCCTAACTTTATCCAAAGCTTTTTCTATATCTGTTAGCATTAAATATGGTTTTTCCCTTTTAATCTATTCTGATGGATCATAATTACGGATTTTTTAATGTTAAACTACCTTGCATTCTTTTTTTTATTTTTTTATTACATGATTTAATTTTTATGTCCAAGCACAAGGATAATGAAATATATTTTCCATGCAAAATGTTATATACATTAAATGCCATACAGTGGTAACAGTGCAGTGTACATATCACTGTTACCTGGGAAGCAGACTCTGACTACCTTGCATTCTTGGTCATGATAAACTTTTTTTTTTTTTAAATAACTCCACTGGATTCCATTTAGTGATAGTTGGTTTAGGTTCATGAGTGAGATTGGCCTATTAATTTCTTTTCTCAGATTGTATTTGTCTATTTTT